AGTAACTTTTCAAGATCTTGCTAAAGTTTCAGTTTCACTATTATGCTGAAAAAAACAAAAAAAAACAATGTGCTGGACCAAAATATTGAGCAATCACCTGTCATCGCCATTAACCAAGCATTAGTCACATGAGGTGTTTTGTTACCCCCAAATTTTAAAAGTATTCCTAGTTGGCAATTTGTTTCTTTTGCTCCCTCTCACTACTCTCCTGACTCAGTGAGGGTCTGTAGCATGTGATGTGGCCCAGTTGTAGCTCAGTTTTCATGGGAGGCAGACATTGCTTTGTTTTCTTCAGGGTGTCCTCTGACTGACGAAGGTAAGTTTCATGATTTATATATATATGTGTGTGTGTGTGTGTGATACGCTAGAATTTTTCTTTTCCTCTGCCATGCGCTGATAGCTCAGGAATAGAAACTTCTACTGATGCTAACTCAGTTGGGTTTCAATCCTGGCTTGAAGCAATTGGATGTCTAGCCACACTGATGAGCTGTGATACAGTGAAACAAGCCTGTATGTGGATAACATTATATATATATATATATATATATATATATATATATATATATATATATATATGTATGTTACTTTAGTCTTGTTGTAATTATGAGTTTAGCTAATGTAATATCTTTCTATTCATGGAAATATATTGTGGTTATCTTTGATTAATAAAACTTTTCTCTATTATAGTATTGGTGTGTTTCACCTACAATTTACAATATATTTTTATGCAACAAATTTATTAGAATTTTCATTTCAAGGAATAATTAGATCTTTAGTTCAAGTTTGGATTTAATATATATTGTAATGGAGATTGCCTGTTGCGTTATTTTTTTTAACAGTACAACAATATTTTACATAACACTATAAGCATTTTTGTACTGGGGTGTATAGACACTCTAGGAGATTATTCTTTTCAGAAATACACAGTGATTAACACAAGATTAACAAGAACAAACTGTAGGTAGTCCATAAATCCATGTTACCACAATTTCACCATCATGGACAACTTTTTTTGGATCTTGATGTCAAAATATGCTTCATATGTGCAGCCTCTACACTTGCCAGGCTAACCAAAAGAATGTAAGAGAATAGACAGTTGACTATGAGCACTAAAATTGCAATTTATAGAGCATGTGTCATTGGCTCATTGCTGGAGACATAATGCAGTCAGGCACAGCATCTTCATGGCTTAAGACATGTTCTGGACATCAGATGAATACAGTCATAGAAACTGAAGTCATCACACTTGTTCAGCAGAACTGTATGTACACAGGAGGATAAAAAAACCCTGTTGTATGAAGAATTGACATGAGAATGTGTGGCTATTGGGTGAACAATACTATAAAAAATAATGAGGGTACATTTGGACTTTAAAATGTAAATGTAATTGTTAAATGTTTTCTGAATTAGGGAACCATGAAAAGAATTTTTATATTAAGGGAAGAGCAAATAAAAGTTTAGGAACCACTTGTTTACATGACAGACATTTTTGAACACTGAAGAAAATAATGCTGTGTAATACTATTAAAATTTGTTGCGCTAAGAAAAGTAATGCAGAATACTTCTAAAGAATTAAATTTGGAAGTTTGATGGAGGAATGAAGAAAAGAAACAAACAGAATTTACGTTCTTCCAATACCATTTGGCTTAAAATTTCTTTTAACAGCAATTAAAAATATCTTCAGGAGTAAACTTATTTTTACTTTTTCTAAGTAACATATAAGACAAGAGTTGAGAGGATAAAAAAATATCTTCAATTTCTCATGATTTCTGAAAACAAGTACTTCAAGCAATACACTAATTCTTTTGCATTTTAATTTTGTTTCCCATGTTTTTTTAAGTTTCATTTTTATTTTAAAGTTTAAAGCCTTGTATGTGATGCTGTGAGGCCAGTAATTTAATTTCTAACACTGTATATGTGAAGCCTGTAAGTAAACACTGAAAGTGATTTTCAAGAAATAATTGGTCAAAAAGTAATATTAAAAATTTCTTTCAAGATGTAACTGTACCAAGAGATATTTTGAATCCAGTAATTAGAACTGAACCTCTCAAATGCCTATCCTTCTCTCTAACCACAGAGCTAAATTATATATCTAAGATTCTGTCAGTAATACTGAATCCCTAATCACTGACAAACCTTTTTTCTTTCTTTATTTTCAGTACATAACATAGAAAGTACGAAAACCTGCTAAAACAAAATTTAAGTACAAAGTTGGAAAATCTTTTCTTTAATTTTATTTTTTTTTTCTTTTATCGCCATGATAATGTTAATAACAAGATTAGCCATTTCCGTGCAGGTAAAATTTGGCATTTGTTAGCCAAACAGATAGCTTACTGTCAGTTGAAACTTTTTTTTATTTCTTTTTCCCCACCCCAGGCAAGGTGATAATGCCGCTAAGATGCAAGGGACTACTAGGAGTGAAAGAGAATGAGAAGACATTAGAAGGAACTAGAAAACCAATCCCGAACAGGAAAAAAGGGATAAAACTCTACTCCTGTTCAAAAGACTGAGGAAGTGTATGAACCAGCCGATAGGAAAAGTTATCTACTCCTACTGAGGAAAATAACACATAAAAAAATAAATAGTAAATAAAATTTCAGATTTTAGTTGGAGACATTAAAGGTATTGAGTTGAAGTAGACTTTAGAAAGAACCAGAACCCTTATCATAAACAAGAAACAAGTGATAAAATTCAATCCCTGTTCAGAAGACTGGGGAAAAGTGTGAACCAGATAATAGGCCAATCTATCTACTCCTAATTATGAGACAAGACTATTTTGTTGGTAACAAAGAAAAGATATCTACGTGATATCTGTCCTTCTTTACAGCAGCAAATGTTGGATGGTCACCGCAAAGATGAAGAAGAGACTTGAGGCCATAGAGGTAATGTTCTACAGAAGGAGGCTAAGGATACCATGGGCCGAACATATGAGCAATGATGAGGTTTTAGAGAGGATACAAACAAGGAGGAAGCTTATACTTAACATCAGAAAGAGGCAGCTGAAATTTCTGGGACATGTAATGAGAAAGGAGGGCTTGGAGAATCTAATACTCACAGGGCAGATAGAGGAGGAGAGAGAAAGAAAAGCAACATGTGACATGCCTAGTGGGCTTAATCAGGGCTTGGGTGAAGTAGCAAAAGGACAAAACATATTGAGAACTACAAGGGATAGGGAGAAGAGGAGAGCCATGATCGCCTATGCCCTGAAGGGACATGACACATAAAAGGAGAAGAATAGTAAATATCATTTCAGAGTTTAGGCAGAGATTTTAGAAATATAGAGTTGAAGTATTCTTTAGAAGGAACTGGAAACACAACCCTAAACAGGAAACAGAATAGACCTCTGCTCCTTTTCAAAAGACCGAGGAAGATTGTGAAGTAGATGATAGGAAAACCTAAAACAGTCTATCGGGAAGTTAGACTCTCAAGTCGATTAACTAGAATTGCTATTTCTAGTAGTGATGTGAGTTTCCATCGTAATCTTTTGTTTTTGGCAATATGGAAAGTCAACATCTTGATTTTCTCTCCTAGTTACATGTGCTAACTGTATTAGTTGCTGTTGTGAGTTTTTAAGTGATCTGATTTTTGTTATTTGTTTGTGGTTCTGTAACACCAGTCTATAAGATCTGATGAAGAATGGTCTTTACAACTTTTATTTTTTTAAAACCATTTCACCTAAAGCAAGGCAGGAGTGCCACTAGCACACAAATAGTTACAGAGTAAAGAGGAAGGAAAGGATAACGAAAAGGACAGGGATCAAGATCAAGGCATCAGAAGATGTCAATTACATTTAAATTTTTGATTATAGTTATCAGGGAAGCAAGTAAGAGGAAGGGAGTTCCACTGTTGGGAAATGTGAGAGAAGATGCTGTTGGAGTAGAAGAGATGGTTACATGTAACTGTTTTGACACTGAAAAGGTGGGCCCGAGATGCCAACCTAATAGCCCGCTTAAATTCATGCAGTCGGGACACCAGTGAAAATAGATCATCAGAGCAGTGGCCATGAAAATATTTGTCGAAAAGACAGCAGGAAGCCACATCACATCTGTGAGAAAGTGACTGGATTTGAGAATCCAAATCAGGACCTATTACGTTGCATATCTGTCTTTGAATTTTGTCGAGAACCTTGAGATGAACAGTGGGGGCACCAGACCATCTACGGCAAGACTATTTAATACAAGGACAAATGGTAGATTTGAAGGATGGACTTAGACAAGAAAAATCTGGCGCAACACAGAGAACCAACATTAAAGGATTCATTTGCTTGAAGCCATTTTTAATCATTGATCTGAGAAAATGGTTACATATAGATGACAGTTTGGACATTTCTGAAGGAGTTGGACATCATACATATTTAATTGATTAAAAGAGAATGTGAGATAGGGAAGCATAGGGGTAAAGGCAGTTGAGAGGAATAAGGAAAGACACAATATTTTCCTATCCTTGAGGTTCAAATAAACAGGCCGTGGCAATTATTATTTAGGTAAAAATACCAATGATGACATCCTTAAACCACCCATTTTCTAAAAATATTTAGGTAATTTCCTCCCACCCCCTAATTTAGGCTACAAATATTCTAGAAGAAAGCATTTCAATGGAATATTCAATAAAAGGGGTGGTTGGAATAAGAATGTCCTCATTGGATTTTTGCTAAAAAAGAATAATTGTCCTGGTTAACTTATTTGAAACTCAGTTAAGTATAACAAATGAAGTAGATGCTAGATACAGCAGTGATTGTTTCATTTCTCCACCAACTCTGTATCCCAAGATTTTGTTCATGGCACTATATAGTTGAAGTACTTTAAGTGAAGGAAATTTTGATGGATATATTTAATAAATTCTACTTGTAATATAATAGATCATATGAACAACCAGTTCTGCATGTGTCAGTGTGCATGTGTTTAACACTGTTACAAAAATATAGGAGCTCAACAGAAACAAGCCGCAAAAAAAAAACAAAAAAAAAACACAAATCCACCTAACAAACAGTGGAAAACTACAAGTCTGCCTAACAAGAAGCAGCAGAAAACAACAAACAGAGCTGACAAGAAGCAGCAGAAAACAACAAAAATGGCTGACAAGAAGCAGCAGAAAACAACAAAAATGGCTGACAAGAAGCAGCAGAAAACCACAAAAACACCTAACAAGGAGAAGAAAACAACAAGCACAGCTAACAAGAAGCAACAGAAAACACCAAACAGGGCTAACAAGAAGCAACAGAAAACAACAAACACAGCTAACAAGAAGCAGCAGAAAACCACAAGCACGGCTAACAAGCCCAAAATACTGATTATAAACTGTCAAACTACTCCTAAAACTCTAATGGATTTAAAAAGTGATGATCTGAAAAATACTTTCTTTCTTGTAAGCATCTTATTTTTATTCATTTTGGATATATAGATATAAATCATGCAATGTATTTTAAAGGAAAGTGATTGAAAACAATATGATACCAAATAATACAATTTAATTAGATTACCAAGAGAAGATGATGCTAATAATAATGGTCCAAATCATAAAACAGTACAAATAATATGAAATATTCTGAATAATAAATGAAATATGATATTAGCATCTTATTAAATCCTTTTCTTTTCTGGTGATGCAAGAAAAAAAAACTTTCATGGAATATGTTTGGTGTAAAATAAACAAGATTAGAGCACTTCAGTTGCAGAGAAGGAACTCTTTAGCTTTTAATAATAATATTTGCCAGTGGAAAGAGAAGCCAGATAGGGACCCAGCAGAGATAAACCCTATCTTCCAATGTCAATAGAATTGGTGTAATCCCTTGGAATTCTCTCTTCTTTCAACTCCTGGCTTCCAGAAATAAATTAAGCATCTGTAAAGTATTTCCAGATATTGAAAACAGTGACTATTCAAACATGTAGGAACCTGTGTTATTCCTTAGAAAATATGTTTTGGATTTATAAAATCTTTTAATTGAAAATTGGGCTTGTCTACTTAAAACAGAATTATCAATTTATCACCTGCATACTAAGTAACATTTTTTTTTTCATTTTACACAAAATAATTTAATTAAATTTCCTAAAAAAATAATATCTTTTAAATGTCATTGTTCATTTTGATTATTTCAGTTTTAAAATTTTTTCCTGTTAAAACTGACTGACCAGATTCTCAATAAAATTTACTATAGTGTCACTCCAGCATCTGATTCTATAAAGACAAGCAGAATATCAGGGGTCTTATTATATAGATAATAGTTTGTTGTTAGGTGTGTTTGTAGATTTCCGTTGCTTGTTGTTAGGCGTATTTATGAATATGTGCTACTTGTTGTTTGGTGTTCAGTGTATTTATAGTTTTCTGCTGTTTATTGTTAATTGTGTTTGTGGTATTCTGCTGCTTGTTGTTAGGTGAGTTTGTGGTTTTCTGCTGCTTGTTGTTAGGTGAGTTTGTGGTTTTCTGCTGCTTGTTGTTAAGTGTGTGTCATTTTCTGCTGCTTGTTAAGTGTGTTTGTGGTTTTCTGCTGCTTGTTAGCTGTGTTTGTGGTTTTCTGCTGCTTGTTGTTAGGTGAGTTTGTGGTTTTCTGCTGCTTGTTAGGTGTGTCTGTCATTTTCTGCCTGTTGTTTAGTGTGTTTGTGGTTTTCTGCTGCTTGTTGTTAGGTTGTATTTGTTCCTTTTCTTCAGCCTGTTAATCAAGTTTTATTAAGAGGTGACAAAATTTCATTATTTTTCTGGGCTTATTGTTTAGGAAATTTAATTCAACATTTGTTTGTATAAAAACTGTTACTTAGTAAGTGAGAAATAAATCACAACTGTTTTTCCTAAATGGGTCCAGTAAACCCCAAATTATGCTTGGATTAAAGCCCAAAAATTGCACTATACAATTGTACCTATCCTACATCATTAATTGGTTCCAGAGGTGAAAACTTAGGTCAAAAAATGACTTAAGTTGAAATAACCACACTATAAACTGCAAATAAGCACCCCTCCATTGCCTATTACAGTACTGATGATATGTATGTAGAGTATTCTGAATAAAATAATTAATTTCCATCTTATCTTCTAGCAATATAGCAACACTTAGCATTAGCACTTGAAATTTTCTTCGGAGCCATGGATTACAAGTGAAATGTAATTGAAAGAACGTCAGTGGCAGAGCACAGATGTAAACAAGTCTGAATTCAAAATTGATGTTGGAATGGAAAACAACAAATGAGTGCCATCTGTCGACAGGAATTTGAAATAATAACATCTGCTAAACATACTTTAATTTTTTTTTCTTGATTATTTTATTATATATATATATATAATATACATAATATTATTTTTACATTTATTTAAATATGATTTTATAAATGTTTATTGTTATGTTAGTATTTTACATAAGCTCAAGTAAAATGACCTAAAGTGGGTTTTATTTTTCCATATAATATTTAAGAAAAACTAATGTATCTTCGAAAATGACTTAACTCAAAACGACTTAAGCCAAGGTAATCACTGTATTAAATTTACAACTGATGTTTTTTTGTTTATGTTTAATCATTGACATTGAAGTGTAGTCTGAAGATTTATGTTTTAACAGTAAAAAATCTAAATTAAAAATTAATGAATTTAAATTTGTCCACTGGTATAATAATGAAATGAAATCAAAGAACTATGTTCCATTTTTATTTTGTCGTCATTCAAATTTGTAGGTCTTAGCAAAAATCATACTTTGTAAAAACTTGTGGACTGGCACTAAAGAATCATAAACAAAGAACTGTACCAAATAACAGTAACCACATTACTTAAGGACTACCAACAGAAGCAACAACTAAAATGGATAGCACATGTAACTCAAAGAGAAAATAATAACAATTAAAATGTTGATGTTCTACACTATTTTGAACAAAATATTAAGAAGGAAATCCCCCATCAATACTGGAAAGAGTGATAACAGCTAGTGCACTTGATAAACCTATTTTCTTGAAAAACTGTTTTAAGGGATGATTTTATAAATTTTAACCAGCAGATGCACTGGTTTCCCAGTTCATGAATGTTGAATGTTTCCTTGTAAAGAAAAGACTAATTATTCCATTACCATTATGAACCATTATTACTAATCTTTGACAATTATTTAATTTCATCTTAAATTTTTAGTTGCTTTTTAAACCAACTTTATTCAAGTAATAAATCTCTGCCAGTCAGTAGACAGAATGGATCAGAAAATAAAAGATAAGCTGCCAGACTGATTCAAACTAATGTCCCTTTCGCCTCAGGGAAGCCTGGTTGAATAAACCAGCTGCTTTAACTGACAGAGCCATAAGAACTCAATGACTCTGAACAAATTGAACATCTAACTCCACCTTTATTCCACAATCTCTTTCAGCTTTATATTTGTTAATTTTTTTTTAAATCCTAGTAATATTAATAGCAGCAGTATTGTATTTTTTTAATATTATTTTCATCACGTGAAGCAGTGTCAATCATTATCATTCATTTTTGACGAGTATTTACTTTCATTTTAATTTTTGAGCTACTTTTTTTACTGGAGCTTTAATCAGGCTATCAATCTATGGAAGAGGGTAGATGGTGTGGATCAGAAGTAAAATAAAAAGCAACTAAAAAAGATGACAGTAAATACTCATTAAAACAAATAACAACCATGTTCAATCTTGAAAACATTATTTACAGATAGCCATGTATTCGATTGGCATAAATTCTTTTTTGTAAAATGATGGCATTGTTTACTTGTTTGAGAAAATTTACATCTTCTTTGGTATAAATACAACTTCATAATCGTGGATCAAACTTAATCCTGTTTTCACCCAGATTTCATGACATTTTGTTTTGAAGATGGCCGAGTTTCATTTCCTGAGAAAAAAATATTTTTTTTTACATTATTCACATTGTTCGGACTGTTGTCCTCATCTTTATTGCCATTCTTATTTTCTGATAATGTCATGTATAGACATCCATATTTACAAAAATTGGTATGTTTTATATATTCACAAAAATATTCTAAATTCTTTTTAAAATACTTTAGGGGGTGTTGATGAATTGTAGTAAGCTTCCCCATTTACAATTAATATAAAATATGGTTTTTCTTTCATAACAATATCACTTGACTGCTACAAATGAATATAGGAAGTTCATGAATTATACTAAAAACCTTTTAAAATATGAAAACAATTCTTGTAAAAATTCATTATTCATTGAAAAATTTTTTTCTTAAGACAATAGTGTCCATAATATGTTTTATTCATAAAAGCAATTAAAAACTTTTCTAAGTAAATAAAGTCTTAGTTTTATTTCATTTTTTGATCACAAATTAAATTCTAGGAGGACTTATCCTTATAATTAATATAAACATTAAGTGCTACTAAAAAGAATTTCTCAAAATTTCATAAAATTAAATAAGTGGTGGGTAACAGATGTAAAAAAAAAATTACCAAGATTTTTTTAAAAGACATTTAAAAAATTTCATTTGTTTGAGACAAAGTCCTGAATGTTTCATCAAAATCTAACAATTATCAGTTTTGCAAGAATTTCCAAATCAAATGTGTTTTTAACACAAAACTCAAATTACCCATATTAATTTATGATCTCCATTTGAAAGCAGAAAAACAAAATTTTTACCCCAAATTTTGAAGGTTCTAAAAAGGATTTAAAAAATAAAAAAAGTTATTAACTGAATCTAAAAGTGAAAACCTCTCAATCAATTTCATCATTAATCTATCATTGACCACAGGTTTCATGACAGTTAATTTAAAATACAAAAATTTTGATCTTGAACCAAAGCTAACAGTACTTTGCTTTCATAATCAGTACCGGTTCATGATTCTTGTAGAATCTATAACTAGAATGAAGGTTAGTATACACACATTAGGCTTTATTGATTGGTTGACTTTTACAGCTTATCAACCTTTTGCAGGTTATTTAAAGCTGGGAAATATTTTAGATTGTTGGAATTTTTTGTGAGGATAATAATGATTTACTGATACAAGTCTTACTAATTAACTCATACCTGTGGGTGGGGGGAGATCCAAACTTTTCCCAAAGTATTTGCTTGTAAGTAAATATAATGAACCTAAGTGGAATTGGAACTTAGCTCTCTAATTTCCAATTCCAAGCCATTATCCATTACATCACCTGCACATTCACACCTACAGTATCTGGTATTCCTAAACAGTCACCCATCTAGGTACTGACCAGGCACAACATTGCTTAACTTTGTCGATCATGTGAGAACCAGTGTTTCAATGTGATATGGCTATAAGCTAATAAATTAGGAAGCAAGCTGGCTCTGATAGTTAGTAAGGACCTGTTGAGAATCTGCTCTAGTAAGTACTTGACTCTTCATGCTATCTACCTTTACAAGAGGGAGATCAGGCTGAAAATAAAGTACTGTTGTCATATTTGGGCGGGAGCTGCCCAGTCCCACTTTTCCAGTCTAGATTGAGTTCAAAAGCATCTCTGAGTCCTTGTGGGTGACAAATTATTTTTTTTTTCTCTCTCTCTCTCTCTCTCTCTCTCTCAGCTGGGAAGTGGCAAGCCTATCACTGCTCTATTGCTATTTCCATGGAAAGTTCTCAAACAAATTATATTCCTTGCTTCCACTAAGTCTAACCTTCATGGCTAGCACCTGGTATACCACTTACATTGTAGCAAATCACCCACATTCCTTCTATATTCCATCGGTGAGAAGTAAGCTTCTTCTTTATTGTCATATTCACAATGTTTCAGCTATTGTACACTCTGACCTTCTTCAAGTGATATATGTTGGAATTTTGAACCGAACCCTTTATTTCATCCACTAGGGTAAATTGTTCTAGTTCCACATGCCATGCCTTTTCTGGATGTCTCAGTTTCAGTAAGTTACCTTTAGTAACTCAACTCTCCAAGTTTTTGTTCACCTCTGCTGGAGAGTTGAGTTACTAAGGGAAATTAACTGAAACTAAGATATCCAGAAAAGGCATAGCATGTTCAACTAGAACAATCTACCCTAGTGGATGAAATAAAGGGTTTGGTTCAAAATTCCAAGCTATATCACCTGAAGAAGACTGGAGTGTACAATGGCTGAAACATTGTGAATATGACAATAAAGATGAGGACAACAGCCTGAATAATGTAAATAGTGTAAATAGTTACAATACATCATCTCAGAAATATAGAAAGATAACATTATATGTTTATCCTTACATGAGATTACATATTTCTACTTCAAAAATTTTAAATTTACTTTTCCCACATCTTCAACATTTCCCTGTGGTAATATAAACTGATGCTTGGGTTTATCTCTCCTCTCCCTCCTATATATATATATATATATATATATATGAAGAAAATTTGGAAAAAAACAAACAAAAATCCTTAAATGCAATTATGTTTAAAATGAATGAAATGTCGACGTCTGACGTTTCGGTTTAATAAACCTTTTTCAAGACAATATTCATTAAAATACAATTCAGTTCGATTTCACAAAGACGATGGACATAAAAAACAAGTCTTATCCAAAACAGATAACTGAAAATCTTTAAAATGATCAGCTTTCCGTTTAGCATGGTCACGTTGTCGTCACATGCGCGACGCTTTCAAAACGTATTCCTAAAAATTTGTGATTATTTTGAAATGAAAAAGAAAATGAAAAGAATTCTATTAGGATCTAAAATTTTTTTATGTGTATGCTTGTCGATTTTTAGGAATACGTTTTGAAATTGCTGGTAATTTTTTTTTTTACAATGAAAATGTATTGTTGCTATTTTTACTATAATTTTTTTTTAGACTTTCACAGTGTTTTGACCCCAGTTTAGGGGTTAACTATTTGCCTATATCTGTGCCCTAACAGGTGCTACCACCCCAGGTCAGGGTGGACCTGTGAACAACAGCAATTAAGAAGTGGTTTCCTGCTCCTGAAAACCTCCTGATTAGAGACCATGCTGCCAGATGTAGTTTATCATACCCAGGACAGTTGATCAGTTGTACCTGGAGACATTGGAAGAGTTTAATGTATACAGGTAATTAATTAACAGTCAAAACAAATATGTTAATGAAAATGTATAAGTGATTATATAAAATTTATCTTTTATCCACCTCATATATTTTAGTATTTAAATATGGTTGAACAGAATCAAAAATTACTTCATCTTTCTTCCAAGAATATATCTAATGATGAATAGTCAGTTTTTCAAAACAAAAACACTTGTAATAATTAATTCATTTGAATCTAGTTTGAGACCAATTCTCTTTGAAATCCTGTTGAAATAACCTTTTTCTCCATGTCAGATCATTATTAGCAGCAGCAATTCTATGACCAGGTGTGCTCATAGGGTTACTGCACAGCTGAATACCTGACCAACTTTCTCTATATGTCTTGATTGTAGGCCAAAATCTGAGTTTCTGTGAACAATCTTGTAGTCCACTTGGTGATTTTGCCAACCCATTTTCCATCCATCTGCCTCTTCTTTTGTCTAAAGTTGTAACTTGTAGCATGACAGTGGAAGAATGGTTGACACTTATGATGTCTCCATACCATTTTAACTTTCCCTTCTTGAAGGCAGTTATGAGGTTTTCCAATTTTTTCTCCTTTATTTTTCTCTATACCACATTTTCTTGTGTATAATACAGTCAGTCAATCAGCTATGTGCCATGTGTGATACACGCTTAGACGATCATGTATCTTTCAATACATGACTAACAAGACAGATTTTTTCCCTGCAGTAGGTTGTTATTTCTTTCTGCAGTAGACCAGTTGCCATCCAAGGCTACAGAACCCAGTCTGTCCTGCTATTTACCCATTGCTTAGGGGAAAAGAAGAGGATTCAAAATTTCCCAAGAGTATTAGCATGTAAGTGAATGTAATGGATTTGACTGGAATTTGAACTCAGCTCTCTGATTCCTCAATCCAAGCTGCTATCCATTACTCCACCATTGAGCATAATATGACCTCATGCTTCTGAATCTAAAAATGGGGAATGAATTACACCTTTTAGTATAATATGACTCTGTAATACAGCCATCCCTATGTAAATTGTTTTTAAAAGTTGTACCCAATTATCCATTAAAGTCTCAATGCCATACATATATTTCAGTAAATATTTAATTTTTCATAATATTAAAGAATAGAAATGAACTGGATGTTTAGCCATTGCATACTTCTTCTAATTTCCATTTCAAAACTTATTTTCAAATTTTTGTGGAAAGGTGCTAATTAGACATACCTGGTAATAAATTTTCAGGTGTTAATTAATCTATCAGACTTTTCTGTTTGATATGACTTTACTATATTTCTGTATATTAATAAACTATGAAAATAAAAAATATTGTCTTTCATCAAGAATAAAGAGAGAAAATTTTATAAATAAACAAGAAAATTAAAATATAAAAAAACAAAACTTTATCTTGTGAGCAAAACAGTGTATTTGCAATCTTGCTGTTTCAAATAAGAGGTTTTTGAAGCTGAGTAAAAATTTCTGAAAACGTGTAGGACTTGTATAATATAAACTCCTTTTTGCCTTTAATTTTCTTTCACAATTCCTCAAGAAAATACAGTATTCATACAAAAGAAACATCCTTTTTAATTCTTTTCTTTTTCACATTTCCAATTATCCTTATCTTTCTGATAATACCCAAGTTTGAGTCTAGTCAGAATTTCCATGCAGATAGCATTTCTTATGCAATTTACTGGTAACTGTCTTTGTTATTTGTCTGTTATTCCAATCAAGGCAAGAGATAAGGCACACTCGCAACTTAATATCAATGCTATAACTCTTATAGCTGATATTTTTCTTGGCGTATTTGATAGAAAAACATGACTGATGATAGTGGAAACTAACAATGTAAAATATTACCCAGAAACATAATTCACCTCAATAGTGCATTATCTTCAGTCTATAGCATCTATGACATTTACAGACTTGGCAAAACTAACAATTAGCAGAATTCCAACACAAGAGTACAAGACTTTTAGTCTTCATGCTCTGAATTTTTTCTCAAATTGATAATGAATGGCATTTAAATATCCAAAGTACCTACAGTTTTATATTAATTTTTAACTGAAGTTTATACTGCAACTATATTGAGCAAACGTTTCTTCAGCACATACAAAACGAATATGAGGTTGATACTGCAACTATATTGAGCAAACGTTTCTTCAGCACCATACAAAGCAAACCTGAGGTTCATACTGCAAGTTATTCCTTTCACTTTTTAACACAACTTTTTTTTTTATCACAATTCTTTGAGCATTCAATAAGCAGCATAAATTGGAAATGAAGAATTAAGCTTCCAGTGAGATCAGATCTCTAATCTCTTATCCTTGGAAGCTTGACAGCACCTAACCTATTGTTCCATGAAAACTTCATCAAAAGATGTTCAAATAAAACATATATCTATATTCTTTTCTCTGATTTCCTATACTGAAAACACTTGTTCTTGTTCAAGCACCATAGCTAAACAGTATCAAGCCAAGTAGATACTTAATAGGGTAGACCATTTGGGAACACTGAGGTCTTAGGTTGCAAATAAGGAAGAGGCTTATACTTAATATCAGGAAGAGGCAGCTGAAGTTTCTGGGACACATAATGAGGAAGCAGAGCCTGGAGAATCTGATACTCATGGGTCAAATAGAGGGAAAGAGAGAGACAAGGGAAACAACGTGTGACATACCTGGTGGGCTTAAGCAAGTGGATGACAGAACGTGGTCTGGGGGAGGAAGCAGAGGGAAGGAACTTGTTGAGAGCTGCAAGGGATGGAGAGAGGTGGAGAGACATGATCGCCTACGTCTTGAAAGGACATGGCACATAAAAAGAAAGTGTACTGTAAGCAAGCTCCAGGCTGAGATAGATAAATAGAGAACTGGATGGATAGATAGATACTGTATATCAATCCTGCTCTATAGTTCTGATGTTATTCTAAAAAAGGTTGAGCAGTGTATTTCTGGAAAATAATGTTCTTTTTAGACATGTAAGGTTTTATTATTAAGGTTAAGGGTGATATCTAGATAATAAAACTATTTTAAGGTTAATAATAAAAACCTTAAATCTTAACATAAAGAGAATCCAATGCCATTGTGAGACAGATATCTACTATTGTCGGCACTAGAATTAGTAGATTATCACTCAACATAATCATCTTTAATAAAAATGAAGAATTGTATGAAACTGCTCGCCATAAAAGTGGCTTTTAAAATAAATTATCTTATCTAACTCCCATAAATAACACTGAAATATCTAAAATGGGATGTAGACGACATAGAAATAAAAAAAGAAAAATTAT